TCTTCTTAAAGCAGCCCCTTTAGCATATCCTATAATGCTGGTTTGGTGGAGGTATATTCTTTTAGCTTTCTTTTGTCTGGGAAACTTCTTATTTTGCCTTCCATTTTCATTGAGAGCCTTGCTGGGTAGAGCAGTCTTAGTTGCAGGCCTTTGGTTTTTATTACTTGGTATATTCTTGCCATTCCCTTGTGGCTTGTACTGTTTCTGTGGAGAAGTCAGGGGCTAGGTGTATTGGGGGCTCCCTTACATGTTACTACCTCTTCCTCCCTTGCTTGCTTTAGGATTCTGTTTGTCTTTGATATTCGCCATTTTAATGATGATGTGTCTTGGAATGGGCCTCACTGGGTTCTTCTTGAATGGGACCCTCTGTGTTTCCTGGACTTGTGTGACTTTTTCTCTCCTCCAATTAGGGAAGTTTTCCATCATTACTTTTTCAAACAGGTTCTCTGTCCCTTGCTCCTCTTCTCCTTCTGGTATCCCTATTATACAGATATTACTACGTTTCAGGTTGTCCTGCACATCTCTCAACGCTTCTTCATTCTTTTTGAGTCTTTTTTCATTTTATTGGTCTTTCTGGGAGCTTTTTCCTACCTTGTGATTCAACTCACTTATTCGATCCTCTGTTTCATCTAGCCTGCCTTTGATTCCTTCTACAGTGTTCTTCAATTCAGACATGACCCCTTGCCTCTTATTGATAGTTTCTGGGAATATACTGTCTGTGACTGTCTCCTTTACTTGTTAATGTAGTCACTCTGCACTTAGCAGTCAGGTTTAGGCACCAAATGGTGGCTCAGAGTACCTCCTCAGGGTGGGGTTATTGGGTTCTCTCATGCTGTGCTGCTCAGGGGTGTGGTCTGCCTGAGTCAGATGGCTGCTATGGTATGTGGGAGATGTCAGCACTGGGATCCTGCTGGCTACCCTCTCAGTTCTTTCTCCAAAGCCTCCATCTCCAGTCTCTACTCAAGTGACTCTATACCACTCTGCACCCTCTTTAGCTAGGGATCTGCTATCTGTGGCTGCCACTCTGTACTCTACAGTCAGACTTAAGTGCCACTAGGCCAGGGCAGAGTGCCTCATGGGGGTGGGGCTATTTATTGGTTTCTCTCATGCTGGTGCTGCTCAGGGGAGTGGTCTGTCTGAGCAAGATGGCTGCTGCCATATGGCAGAGGAGTCAACACCAAGATCTCACCAGCTACTCTCTCAGTTCTCTCCCCAAAGCCTCCTTCCCCAGTCTCTCCTCAGGTGTCTCCAGCCCAGTCTGCCCTTGCCTTTGTCAGAGACCAGGGAAAGTGGCTGCAAATAAAAATTTATGCATTGGCACTTTAAAAGGCTCTTTGGGTCTCCAGCTGTCCATCTCTGTTAGAGAGCAACCCCGCTGCTTTTTGCAGCTGGTTGTTATATGTGTACTTTTTGGGCTGTAGGCTAGAGATCCCTGCCTATGGTTTAGATCCCACTCTTCTCACGGGGATCCAACTGGCCATTTCAATATCCCTCTTGTGCTGCTGCCAGTGGGCACTCTGAGCACTTTCTCAAGTCTCTACTGCACTCGTTACCAGTTAGGTTGTGTAAAGCTGATTCTTCTGTCTCTGAGGTTATAAGTCTCCTTTCACTATCGTTCAGTTTTTTGTTCCAGGTGACTTCTCCACAATTTAGTTGTAATTCTAGATTGGTCCTGGAAGGAGGTCAGTGTGACTTACATTCACTCCTCTGCCATCTTGAAGTCTCCTGACTGGACATTTTTACTGGTGCTGAACTTCTCACTAAGCTCCTTGAGCCATGTTTCTCATCTCTTCATTTTGGCAGCCTCCCTGTGTTTGTTTCCATGTATTAGATAGAGAGTTGCTATGTCTTCCAGGCTTGATAGAGTAGAGTAATGTAGTAGGTGTCCTATAGTGTTCAGTTGCACAGCCTCTCCTATTACCAAGCTGGGTACTCAAGGTGTGCCCATTGTGCGGCTGTATACACCCTCGTCTTGTAGTTGAGACTTGTTGCTGTTGGTGCATCCAAGGTCAGCAACCACACCTATGTTCTGTCCAGGGTCACGATGCATAAGATACAAAGTGATCTGCAGATGGTGGCTACTTGTGATGGACTTGGAGGTGCCTAGGAAAGGCCAAACTCTGAACCAGGTCCAGTTGCTGCTAGTGCCAGGCCTTGGACAACTTAGTGAGAGGTACAGGGCTCACTGAAAGCAGGTGCTGCTTGTTTGAGCAGATTTAGGAAAATCTGAAGCTATTCATATGGGATCGCCACTGGAAACATCTTTGGTGGGTATGAAAGTTGGCTGGGGCAGGGCCTCAGAGAATCTCCAGGGTGAGGCAAACAGTGAGCCAGGATGATGGGGATTTAAATCCCCATTGCTGGCTCTGTGACTATGTTTGGGGAGGGCTCAGGAAAGGAATAATGGTTTCTGCTAGCACTTCCATCTGTGAGAAAACTGTGCTTAGCTCTCACCCTGATGCTGGACTATTCAGTTCCTCCCTGTACATCTCTGATGCCTTTCAATCTGCTTCTCCAGTGCTGGAGCTGAGAGAGAGTGAGTTTGATTAAGTCTGTGTGTTGGCCCTTTAAGAGGAACTGTCTGGAATTACCACAGTTTTTCTTTCATAGTTTCAATCCCTAGTGATTTGTATAGCCAGAAGTTATGGAGACCTCTCTTCTTGGCACTGGAAACCTGGGCTGGGGGGCCTGGTGTTGGGCTGGGGCCCCTCGCTCCTGAGCTCTCTCTCCCTACTTTTTTCACTACATGTGGGTGTGGGACCAGTCCCCTCTGCATTACTGCCCCTCCTACCATTCTCGATGTCATTTCTTCTTTAATTCTTTAGTTGTAGGACTTCCAGTTAGCTCAGTTTCTGATGGGTCTGAATGATGGTTGTTCTATAGTTTGGTTGTTATTTTGATATAGTTGTGCAAGGAGTCAAGTTGCTTTTACCTACACTGACATGTTGACCAAAAGTTCCTGGCTAAAGTCATTTAAAACAAATAATAGTGAATCATTTGCGGTTTTTATTTTTGTCTTACTCTTCGTATCTAAAGTGCAAAGATTGAACTCCAAACCCTGCCATCAACTAGCTTTTTCTTATATTATACAATTAAATTATGTTATACATCTTAATTAAAAAGAAAATTATTTTCTCAATGGATTTAATAATGAGTTGGGGAGATTGGGATCTAGGTATTCCAGTCTCCCTTGTTTTGGCCTCCCTTTTCTGCGATCCACTAGGAGAGGTACAGGCTGGACATAAGATGGTTACCTGGCCTATGGCAGTTTATTTGTGCCCAGAGCTGCTTTGGAAGGTTGAATTTCTCTCTAAGGCAGTAGAGCCAGGATGATTTGGACAATGTCTCCTTTGCAATATGGACACTCTTATCAGTTAACCAAGAAACAAGCAAACAAACAAAAAACCAGAAGTACTCCACTTCAATGTTTATAGACCACGTGTTTCACAGGGCCTGTAGTGGTTTCTGTTTCTCCTTGACCTGCATCTACCTGCTAATTTGAACACTGCTGACATGAGTCTATATGCAGTATCAATTTATTTTCTTCCTCTTTTTCTTTCTTATTTGTTTCCTAAAAAATAATTTAACTGCTTTCTTGCCTTGAGATATAAATTCCACATTTTGGTTGCATTGGATTCCAAAGCTTCTGAGAAAAGGATTAAATTTATTAGGCTGGTTCACAGTGTTCTCATAAAAAACTTTAGTTTGGGGCATGGACCTATATGTGGTTAGGATTGTTTTAAGCTAAATGTAAAAGAATCAACATTACATTGTTTACGGAAACTTAGGCTATGCCTGTTGCTTAAATAATTATCACAGATTTACAAGCATGGTCCATGATGAGGTGGATGGTCAAATTGACTTTTCAGCAGTTTTGCACTCTTGATGGCGGCTCCCAGTCAGTGTGGAATTAGAGAGGTGCTGCCAGGGCAGAGGAGCCTCCAGGAAACTGAGTATAGTTGGGAATTGTTCTCTGTCACTCTCACAGAATCTGGCTTTCAACAGTATTAAAGGGTAGCAAGTGACTAACAGGTTGGACCACAGACCTTTGCAAGATATTGAATCTTAGCAGTGAGGGGAAGCTTGGTTTGTTTTTCACTCGTTATATTCACATTTTCTCTATTTATTTTAAAGAGGGGAAACAAAACATGAGGTACATGTTTTTTACAAACATGACCTTTTTTTAAAATTTATTTTTTCAAATATGTTTGTCTCTGCCTACCCCCCACCACTTTCCCTTGCCCCCTCCCTTCTTCCCTTCCTCAGCTCTTCCCCTTTGGTTTTGTCCATGAGTAACATGACTTTTATAATAATCATGCTTTCTCGTGTCTAGCTTGGATGCACTTATAATTTTATATTTATGTGTGTGTATATGCAAAATCTGAAGATACACACACATATCTGTAACATACATGTGTATAAATACATATACTGACACTGATGTAAACTCCTGGCAGCAAAAGGCAACATATCACAGTTCACTGCAGAACATTAATTTCCATATGTTTGAATTTTATGAAGTAGAAATACCAAAAATAAAAAAGAAACTGGAGGATCCAGCATGGGTTGCCAATTTCATGTTTCCCAAGATCATCAAAGTATTTTTTTTGTTGCTGGATGTTAACTAGACTTCTTGTGATGATCATTTCACAATACAGTTGATCCTTGAACAACACAGGTTTGACTGCACCTGGATTTTTTCAATAAATACTGTAAATGTATTTTCTTATCCTTATGATTTTCTTAATAACATTTTCTTTTCTCTAGCTTACTTTATTGTAAGAATACAGTATATAACACATATGACTAATCTGTGTTAATGAAGCAGGTGCCTGACTGATAAACATTTTGTATATGATTTTGTGTATTGGAACCACTGTGGTCACCAGGTTATCAGACAAAAGGTTTTTCAGTGGTTGCTTTTTGTGAAGTAATTGGTGTTTTGTATATACAGATGCATATTTATATATGCAAAATAATTTTTTATTTTTAATAATCAGCTGTCAAAGCTTGAAAAACAACAGCAGAGGAAAGAAAAGACCAGAGCCAAAGGGCCTTCTGAATCAAGCAAAGAAAGAAATGCTCCTCGTAAAGAAGATCGCAGTGCCAGCAGTGGGGCTGAAGGTGATGTGTCTTCTGAACGGGAACCATAAACTTTGGGTTCAGAACTCAGGTAAGAGGGTCTCCTCCCTGCATGGCTCCATCTTCCCACATTTTGGGCAACCAAAAATGAATAGAGAACAGAATGGCTTTTGAGGTTGAATTCATTTTATGGTAATTCATGTACAGTTTCCTTAAATTCACTGACTTTGAAGATGGAGAGAAAAACCAAACTGTGGGAGAGACAGGTACCTATGGCCTGGGGTATTCACCTAGGAGGTCTGTGTATGTTACCTTCTTCAGTTGCCTATGTCAGTTGACAACTGCTGCTATTATTAGCATTTCTAGAGTGTTCACAGATCCAGGATCTAGACCAGGAGCTTCATACAAGCTCTCGCCATTGGTCCCTCCTCTCCATTCTTGCTCATGGCAGCTCCTATGGCAACTGTCGTCATCTCTGGCAGCCTCCTCTCATAAATTACAGCCTAATGTTCTGCTATCCTTCACTTCATCTGGTGTGGCATTATTATTTACTTTTCCTAAAATAGGGTTTTATTCCATCACTTCCTTGCCCAGGAATGCATCTCCGTCCATTTAGTGATTTGACATTAACTCCACCTCCCTGCTTGAAGATCAGAGGCCTCTGAAACTTGATCCATTTGTCTCATGGCCATTTGCTTAATTTCCTTCCCTCAGTGAACGCATTATCAAGAGCCTCTTACTTGTTGGAATTCACAAGGTCAGGGAGAAGCATAGAAATAATTACGCGGCAGCATGGTGCATTGTGATGGTGATAGGATGTGGGGTGATGTGGAGGTGAAAGTCAGGGAGGCTCCGTGGAGGGGAAAACTCTTGAACTGGGCATAGAGAAGAGCAGGTGCTAATGTTGAGGGAGAGGGACAAGGACAGATGAGTTTTGCAACAGAGATACTGAAGAATGGCTGAAGTGTTGGGAACAAAAGATGGAGGGTTGTCCATGGAGCTTCTCTGAAGTTAGAGAAGTAGGATGGTTTGGGGCTATAAGAGGTCTGGCATGCAACTTTGAGAAATTTGGATTTTATCCTGTGGTGCTAGGAAACCTCTGAAAGGTTTTAAATACACAAGTGACATAATCAGATACCAAGTTTAAAAAGATCACTCTAAGAAGCCTTGAGTATGAGGCTGGAAGCAGGCCACTTTGGAGGCAGTTGCAGAAACCAAGAGAGAATGAAGGTCTTTGGAGCCTTCAGTTTGTAGACTGTTTCAAACCAAGTCAGCAGACAAGTTTGTCCTGGAGATGCCAAATTGTGACAGAGGAGAACATTTGTAATGTTTTCTGCCTTCTTTTTTCCCTATGAAGTGAAAGAGGTTAGAAATCTATCTATGACCTTTAGGACCTTTAGGTAATCTATGTCTTTTAGAACATACATTACCAGGTATTGAGGTATATTACAGATCCATAGTAATAATTTGGTGTAATGGAACAAGCTTTCAAACAGACCAAAGGAACAGAATAGAGCTCAGAAAAGAAGGTGGAGGGATTAACCAAAGAACATACTTGTCTATGCATAACTCATAGACACAGACAACAGTGTGGTGACGGCCAGAGGGAAGGGAGGCAGGGGCCGGGTGGGGGTTGGCAGAGGGTGGAAAATGGGGACATCTGTAATAGTGTCAACAATAAAAACATTTTTAGAAAATGGGTTGTGGATTTATGGATAGTCTCACCAGGCTGGGGTGGGAGGGGACAGATTGAAGCAGAGTTTTTCTGGAGCTGCTTCTCAAACTTTCTCTGGCTCTGGGGAGCATGCTAGAGAGAACATCTCAGCACCTGCTTCTGGTCCCCAGATGAAGGATAAAAGGCTGGTTAATATGATGGTCAGGGAGCTATTAGGCCAAAATTTCAAAGTGTGCCATTCCTTGGTTCAGAAGAAAAATGTCATCTGATTTTCCTTCTTGGGATGAGGCCAACGACCCAGGCTTCGTGTTTTTTTCACTCTCTTGGCCTCACTCAAGCACAGCACCATTTCTTTTCCCTTTAGTGTTAAGATTATGAATATAGGCCATTCCCTGGTGAGCTGTGACCTTAAACAAGTTTAAAAAGTAAAATTTTAGATTCCCATGATGAAATCAATGAATAGAAAATAAATAAAAATACAATGGCACCTAAGTACTAGTCATTAATTTGTTCCAGAACTCATGATGAATGCTAAAACCAGAGTACTGAATGCGACGAGTGATGAAGCATTTTCTCTTGCGGGACAGTGTTGTGACTCATACAAGTTCTAGCAAGTACAACAAGTCCTGAGCAAGTGCCAAGTGCTGAAACAGTTTTTTCTTGTCAAAATACAACAAGTATAGGGTTTGACGAGTTCTGAAGCTGACGAGTGCTGAGGTGTGACTGAAAGTACTCATCTTCCAAACCCAGTTTATTCACCTAAGCACACACACAAACACAAATTCAAATATTCATTGGCGTTCTGTATTTTTTTCAGATAAATATTTTATTTATGTATTTATTTTAATATTTTTGTTTCTCCTTTCACTTTCTTCTTTTTACTATTTTTTCCATTACCATTTATCCCCCTATACCTCTTAAACCTCCACCCACTCTCCTCCTCCCACAGTCACCACACTGTTGTTTGTGTCCATGAGTTCTTTCTCTCTCTCTCTATTTTTTTTTTTTTGCATGATTCCTCCACCTCCCCAAACCTCACCCCAGAGCTGTCAGCCTGTTCTCTATATATGAGCCTGTCTCTGCTCCTTAGTTCAGTTTTTTCATTAGATCCCATATATGAATGAAATCATATGGTACTTGTCTTTCTCTGAATACTTATTTCACTTAGTATAATGTTCTCCAGGTCCATCCATGCTGTCACAAAGAGAAAAATTTTCTACTTTTTTATGGCCGAGTAGTATTCTATAGTGTAAATGTATCATAGCTATTTTAGCCACTCAACCACTGATGGATACTTGGACTACTTCCAAATCTCAACCATTGTAAATAATGCTGTAGTGAATGTAGAGGTGCATATATTCTTTGGTATTAGTGTTCTGGATTCTTCCGATAAATTCCTAGAAATGGAATTGCTGGGTCATAAGGCAGTCCCAGTTTTAATTTTTTGAGGTATCTCCATAATGCTTTCCACAGTGGCAGCACCAATCTGCATTCCCACCAACAGTGCCGAAGGGTTCCCCTTCCTCCACATCATTGCCAACATTAGTTATTTGTTGATTTAATGTTGGTAGCCATTTTGACAGGTGTGATGATTTCTCATTGTGGTTGTAATTTGCATTTTTCTGATGATTAGTGACATTGAGGATCTTTTGACCATTGTATGTCCTCTTTGAAGAAGTGTGTATTCAGGTCCTTTGCCCATTTTTTTAATTGGGTTGTATTTTTGGTGTTGAGTTTTATAACTTCTTTATAAATTTTGGATGTTAATCCCTTATCAGATGTATTGGCAAATAGGTTCTCCCATTTAGTGCGTAGTCTTTTCATTTCATTGATGGTTTCCTTTCCTGTGCAATAATATTTTAATTTGATGTAATCCCATTTATTTTTTCTTTTGTTTCCCTTGCACAAAGAGATATATCAGAAAATATGTTGCTGTGAGAAATGTCTGAGATTTTACTGCCTCTGTTTTCTTCTAGGATTTTTTTCTTTTCTTTTTTTCCCTAGGATTTTTATGGTTTAAAGTCAAACATTTGAGTCTTTAATCCATTTGTAATTTATTCTTGTGTGTGGTGTAAGAAGGTATCTAGTTTCATTTTTTTGCAGATTCCTGTCCAAAATTCCCAACACTTTTTATTGAATAAACTCTTGTTAGCCCATTGTATGTTTTTGCCTCCTCTGTCCAAAATTAATTGACAATAAAGGCATGGGTTTATTTCTGGACTCTCTGTTCTGTTCCAGTGATCTATGTGTCTATTTTTATGCAAATACAATGCTGTCTTGATTACTATGGCATTGTACTAGAGTTTGGTATTAGCATGATTTCTCCAACTTTGTTCTTCTTTCTCAAGATTGCTGTTGTTATGCCATTTGTGGTTACATATAAATTTTTGGAATACTTTTTCTATTTCTGTGAAATGTGTCATTGGGATCTTGATAGGAATTGTATTTAATCTGTAGATAGCCTTGGGTAGTGTGGATATTTTAATGATGTTAATTCTTACTGTCCATGAACACAGTGTATGCTTCCACTTATTTGTACCTTCTTCAGTTTCTTTCTTTAGTGTTTTATAATTTTCCAAGTACAGTTCTTATACATTCTTGGTTAAATTTATTCCCAGGTATTTTATTCTTTTTGAAGCAATTGTGAATGAGGTTTTTTTTAGTTTCCCTTTCTGATAGTTTATTATTGGTGTATAAAAATGCAACTGATTTTTGGATATTAATTTTGTATCTTGCTGTATTACTGAATTCATTTATGTGTTTTTATAGTTTTTTGGTGGAATCTTTATGTTCTCTAAATACAGTATCATGTTATCTACAAATAATGGCCATTTTACTTCTTCCTTTCCAATTTGGATGCCTTTTACTTTTTCTTCTTGTCCAATAACTATGACTAGAACTTCCAGTACTATGTGGAATAAGAGTGGTGAAAGTAGACATTCCTGTGTTGTTCCCAATCCCAAGAGAAACACTTGTAGTTTTTGCTCATTGAACATGATATTGGCTTTGAGTTTGTCATATATGGCATTTTTTACATTGATGTATATTTCCTCTATTGCCACTTTGCTGAAAGTTCTTATCATAACTAGGTACTAGATTTTATCAAATGCTCTTTCTGCATCTATTGATATGATCATCTGTTTTTTATCCTTCATTTTATGTGGTATATCACATTTATTGGTTTGTGAATGTTGTTCCAACTTTGCATTCCTGGAATAAATCCCCTTGATCATGGTGCATGACCTTTCTGATGTATTGCTGTATTCAGTTTGCTAATATTTTGTTGAGGATTTTAACATCCATATTCATCAGGGATATTGACCTATAACTATTTTTTTGTAGTGTCTTTCTCTGATTTTGGAATTAAGATAATGCTGGCCTCATAAAGTGAGCTTGGGAGCTATGTCTCCTCTTGG